CTCTCTACTCTCTCTCTCTCTCTCTCTCTCTCTCTCTCTCTCTCTCTCTCTCTCTCTCTCTCTCTCTCTCTCTCTCTCTCTCTCTCTCTCTCTCTCTCTCTCTCTCTATTTCTGTGTGTGTGTGTGTGTGTGTGTGTGTGTGTGTGTGCGTGTGTGTGCTGCGCACGCGATTTTTCTATTGGTACAGATGTTGTTTTCCGATAACTGTTTGCTCAGCTCCAACATATGCGGCAAAAGAAGCCTTCTCGGCTCATCCGTGTATATGCCTCTCCGTGCTGCGTGAATGCTTGAGACCCGCGGAGCGTATTTACACACGCGAAGTAGATTTCACACACAAGAATACAACATCAAATTAACTCGCGTCAGCAAATGACCAAACTCCCTGCTCTCCTACCAAACAGAGCACTTCGTCACCGGATTCATTGTGCTTCCAAGAGGGCAGTTGTAGGCCTTTGCGAACTCATACGAGTTGGAGAGAGGACCTAACACCCTGAAAAAAACAATAACGTACTAAATATAACCGTACAATAAAAAAATACTCGTCTCAAGCTACTATAAACGTTGGCGGTACGCTAAGCACGGGGGATATGTTCAGTGAGATTTCTCTTCCCTTCACAATCACAGCCAAGAACACATGAGTTTCCCTTACCTCACAGTTCCGGGACTATGCACAGAGGACCTTATCTTCTTGATGGCGTCTTCAGGTCGCGAGGCCTCACACCAAATCTGCGCAGGTGATTTTGCAATAGCAAAAGGAAGTTTACTGCACCGAAGATTGTACATGTGCCTCGGTGATAGAGAAGAAATCCAGGCGCGCGAACTCATCGTATATATATATGATACCGTATAGCGATAAGCTTACTCAAAAATACTGCAAGCCGGAAAGTCTGCGAAGTCGTACAACGATCATAGAAAATTACCAGTCGACGAATCTTGTAAAGATGCAGCCAGAAATGAGATTTAAGAGGCGAATATTGTCGAGATGTGCCAGACGTGTTCAGATATCGGAATTAGGGGGAATGGTGGACAAATGGAGAGGCCATACTGTGGTTTGTAATATACGGCTTATCGACACACGACCACACGTTGACTGACACACATAGCTCACCTGCGCGTAATTGAGAAAGAACAGCTGATCTTGTGTCCGGTTTATTCCGGGCAGTAGCGGTTCCTCTCCGTTCCGCATCACCCACTTCTTGTACGCCTGCAACACGACGAGCGCGACAACAGCGAGTTTACAGCGTAGTTCTATAGAACAGTAACGCGGTTAACAGCGTATACGCAGAAGAAAATGTCGATTCGGACAAAAGTTGCGCGCCTGTACGCGAACGATGTGTTAATTAATTAAACGTTAGTTAAGATGCTGTGCGTGTGAAAGATTGCGCTAACGATCCGCCTACCCTGTAGGACTGCTTTAAACCGCCGTTGTCGGCTATGTTCTCTCCTTGTGTGTTCTTTCCATTCACCTATTAAAAAACGATAGAAATATTTTGCTCGTGTTTTGTGGTGACGTACGAAATAAATGTGATCAGGAGGGAATAGATGCAAACTTGTTTTTAATTGGTTTTTGATTTGTTTGTATTCACTGCTGATGTATTGCATATACTACGTATAGACGCAGGTATGGGTAGAAGTGCGCGCTGTAGAGCGCAATTGCCTTTATTTGGGCACATCTACGGCTACACGCAAGCAGGTGATAATTGCATACTAATTCTACTATGTAAACGACAAATTCATTTGAAAGGTGCTGTTTAAAATTGCACGTAGCGGTATTTTGATTTATATTTTATTTTAATTTTAATTTGAAATCTGACTTTTATTTTTCGATTTTCGCATTTTATTTTGATAGAGTTGATCAGAAGGCGCCCGTACGGTCATGTTAATGGCGGCGACTCTGTAGGCGGAGTACTGGTCGACAATGCACTGCGCTTGCGTTCGAAAGTCCTTGATCGTCTCGGCATTCCACCATTCCTTCATATTGCCATCCTTGTCAAACTGGCGGCCTACAAAAGGCGCGGCAAAACTTGAAAGTGACATTGCGGCCGTGATGTCAGGCCGACGATATTGATGGTCTCGGGTCATTGCAGTCATTCGGTTTACGTGCGTATATATGTTCGTGCTTGCGTGCGCGCGCGTGTGTGTGTGCGTGTGTGTGTGTGTGTGTGTGTGTGTGTGTGTGTGTGTGTGTGTGTGT